GTATCTCCGAGGAGCGCGCTGATGTGGAGGCAGAGGAGGAGGAGGAGGAGGAGGAGGCAGAGGAGGCAGAGGAGGAGGCAGAGGAGGAGGAGGCAGAGGAGGCAGAGGAGGCTGGAGAGGAGGAGACAGAGGAGGAGGCACACCCATCCTGCTGCTGGAGGAGGAGGAAGAGGAGGAGGTGGAGGCGAGGGCGGCACCCGCAGCCCGACAGCCCTGGAGCCGGAGGCTGGCCCCCGGCGCTGCTCGCCTGCGCGGTCCTCCTGGCACGCCCGGCCCGGCCCCCACGGGGGCGCGCGCCGGCCTGCACGGCCGCCTCGGCGGCGCTGGCGGCGGCGGCCCGCGGCAGACGCACGCCGCCGCCCGCAGGCCGGCGCCCTGGCCGGAACGGCAACTACAGCGAGACCCCACCCCACGGCACGCCCCACGCGCGCTGTGGCCGGCGCGGGCCCCCGGGAGGCAGGGCATCTACGACGCCATCGGCGGCGTCGCCTGGGTGCAGGCCTTCCTCGTGGTCCTGCTGGCGGGCTTTGAGTGCTACCACATGTTACTGCATAACGGACTCTGGGTGCAGGCACGTATCTATGCCCACAGAAACTGGGCTCCGACCCCATTGCAGACGGGGTGCTCGCTTTAGCCGCCCTGGCTTGTCCGTGCGTCGCAATCCGCCCAGCATCCGCCGACCGGTCTGTTCCGATCGTGCGTGGTATGGCGTCGTGGGCGGGGAGTGGGGTGGTCGGGCAATTCTTGATAATCGGCCCATCCAGAAAGGATGCCCAGGCGAAAGGAAACTGCAGGAGCAAACAGTGGAAGAAAGAGGTTGGGCAGCCGTCAAGCCAAAGCTTGGGATCAGCCCGAATAGACCAAGGAGTCAGCCATAAATGCCTTCGCGGATCTTTCGGTATGGTAGCCCATTGGCGGCTTATGTGGCAAATTGTGGTGTCATGATGGAACTTGTGGCCCTCTTGGGAGCCTTTCGGGCCATCTGCGGTCGTCTTGCATTAGGACATCGATCAGAGAAGGAGGTCCTGAATCCCTGCCACCCCGTTGTCGGAGCCAGAATAATCGCCTCTTCGGGGTGCTCTTGAGGCGCTCTTTGGGCGCTTCTTGGGGGTCTTGTGGGCCGTTTTGGAAGTTGCATTGGCACATCAAAGGACATGGGAACCATCTGGAGACCTCAAAGCCCATGGAAAGCGAAAATGCGAGAAGGCCAAAACAATTGAACGACACTAGTCTCACGGGGGTATCGTCGGGAAGCTCAGTGACCACTTCAAGCTGTCTTGAGGCGGTCTTGGGGCCCTTTTGGAGGAATACTTGCGGCCATGTTTGGCTATATTGTGCCATCTTGGAGGCCATATTGAGCTATCTGGACCCGTCTTGGAGCCTCCTGGGGCATTCTTGGACGCCCCACCCCCTCGCGAAACCCTGGTCCAGACCACGGGGGACAGGGTAAGGAGAGGGGCAAGTTCCCAGCGGGAACGCCGCAAGCTGTACTGCTCAATCCCACCCACCCACCCTCCCACTACAATTTGAGCAGCACTCGAGTCTCAGCATAGGTAGGGATCGCCGTCGACAAGCATCGCGAATCAATGCAGACGCCAACCAGGTGTGCGACGCACACCGCATGCACCAGGTGCCCCATGGGCACAAGCGTGCCAGGCGCGCCAGATGCGCCACGTGCTACACATTCACCTAGGGTGTCACGTGCTTCAGCCGCGCCAGGCGCGGCACGTGCTCGTCGCGCGTAGCTGCGCCAACGGACGTCACAACACACATCCCTGCCAAAAACATTCGCAAAGTGACGGTGAGGTTGCCAGAGCTGTGTACTGCGCGTGCACCCGTAATTATTGCGCAACAGTGTTTGATATGGATGGTTGGCTTGCGCACAGCGGGCAACATGATGGTCCCCGCGCCGTCCTTGTCAAAACAACCACGCAGAGTGATCGCGGGGCGCCTGGACCCGACCTTGATCCTGTATCTGCTTGGTTGTTGATTGGGCTCCCTTCCAGGTCGGCGGCTTGGGGCCCGACGGGGCGGACTGCAGGGGGGCGCCCTCCGACACGCCTCATGACCTCAAAGGGGGCCGGCAGCTTATCGGTTCGGCACCACGACAGAGAACGACGAGGTGGTGCTCACCTGCGCGTGCCGCTGAGGCGGGGGGGAGCCCGAAGGCACACTGGATGCCGCCCTCTTGGGCCTCCTCCCTCTCCTCTGCCTCGTCCTCGCCTCCCTCCTGCTCTGGCCAGGGTCCTTCTGCCGCGCTCTCGCCACGTTTCGCTTCCCTCCACTTCGTCGTCACCTTTCTCCTCCGCTCACCAGTTACTCGTCCTATCCTGCTCGTCGCCTCGTCGGGGGGGCCCTCCGTTGGCCGTCAGGATGGCGACGCTGCGTCGTGGCGAGTCTGCTGCCAGAAGTGGGCGGCCAGCTGCGAGCGGAGCTGGCCCGCCGAGTGAGCCTGGCCCCACCCCATTTCAGTCTTCGGGTGCACCCACGGGAGTACAGTTTTCCCCACCGCCATGCGTGCGGCCCTCATCGGTCCTGAGCCCCCCATGAGGCCTCTGGGGCTCCATCTGCAGCGCAACTGCTCGGTGGAATCCCCAGTTTGAATCCTGTCACACTTCCCGCCCTCCTGCCCTTCCCCCCATCCTCCTCATCGTTCTACGCACGTTTATCCTCCTCCTCCGCTTTCCCCCCCTCCTCCGCCCCTCCTTGTCCTTGTTATCCCCGTGAACCCTCCATTCGTCCTACTCCTCCGGCACTCCCCTCTTATCCCTTTTCTACCTCCTCACCGACCTCCCAAGGCCGATGCCAGAGATATCGAGTGAGCGTTATAATCCAGCTGCGTGCGGCAAGTCTCGCCACCGTGCCAGCCCAGCACCTTGGGTGGCAGCTGTTCGGGGGGGGGCGCACAGGAGGCCGTAGCGTGTGACACCTCGTGTCCCACGGCTTGGGGGGGCCGTAACATGGGAGACACTCTTCTGCGTCGTATTGGGGGGGGTTCTCGTCTTCTTCGTAGTCCTGCCTCTCTTCGGTCCTTGCTCGGGGGGCTCCCGTGGGGCCGTCTTGGAGCCTTTGCGGGGCTTCGTGAGGCTCTCTTGGGCAACCTTGGGGCCCTCTTGGCCGTCTGGGGGGTCTATGGCGGCCGCGGTGGGGCCGTCGAGGGGCTCTGTAAGGCCGTCTTGGTCCCCTCCAGAGGCTCTCTTGGACCAGCTTGGAGCTTCTCAAGGCTTTCTCTTTGGTTGTCTTGAGGCTGTTTTGGAGGAATATCAGGTCATGTTCGCGTGTTCTTCTTTTCTTGGGCAGTATTGGGGCAATATTGAAGGCCTCTAGGGCTGTCTGAAGCTGCAGGAAGCACGAGAAGATGAAGACACTCAAGTTTTTGAAGGATCTACGGGGAATATATGATGTGGACTTCTTCGGGCCCGGCCAGGGGTCCTATTATGGTCCTTTTGAAGCGTCTTGGGGGTCTCTTGGTCCGTCTTGAAGCCATCTTTGACCGCATTGGGGCCATCTTGGGCCGTCTTGGAGGCATCTTGGGCCGTCCTGGTGGCCATGGTGACGTCTTCGAAGCTCGGGAGTACGGGTCCATCGGCTTGAACAAGGGATTTGGGCTTCGGGAGCGCGAACCCATGATTTTGCATGAGTGATCGCGACCTCGGAAGCGCAGATCCATTGTCTTTTCCAAGTGAGCTGTAGGTACAGTGGGGGTGGGGCGTTAGAAGATTACAGTGGAGGCCCATGTCAAGAAACACCCTGCTTGCCTCCAGGGTGCCCTAGGTTTCTTGGGTTTCGATGGTTTTGCTATGGAAAGCGTGACGTTCCCACACCAAACATCAATCGACGTCCTGGGCTCTCGGGGTTGAGTTTCTTGTGGAAGGCTTCTTGTGGGCTGGCCTCCTTTGTACAGCGGGGGTGGGGCGATGGAAGATTACAAGCAAAAAGCTCCGGAGAGAACTTGGCATTCGACAGCGCCTCAGCGTGCCCGGGTGGCACAGTGGCAGACTGCATGCGGCGGAGGCCAGCTGCCACGGACATTTGAGCGGTGGTACGCCCCCGATGTTTGAGAGGCGGGGTGGTCCTTTCTGGCGAGGACCCCCGCACGACCTCAGGCACTTTTGAACCCGACCGTGGAAAAATACCCCCCTTTCCCAGCCCTTCCACCTCCCCCCTCCCCTTCTCCAGCCTCTGTTTCGGACACCCCGTTTTGGCTGTTGCAGCCGACACGTCCTCTTGCGACAGCACAAGGGACGCGACAGCAGAGGGCAATGAGCGCAAGACCCTCGAACTCGTACTGATCATCCTGCTGTTCGTCACTCCCTCCCCCTCTCTTCCGCTTATCCCGCGTTTTTCCCCCCCCTTGCCCTTCAATTCCTTTTCCTTCTGGATGATTCCTTCCTGTCGCACCCCGAGGCCTGTCGGAAGGGCGGGCCGCGCGTTTCGCCTGAGACTTCCATGCCAAGTATGACCCTGAAGCCTGAAAGTTGGCAACAACTTCACAGATGAAGGGCGGGCCGCTTCCAAAATGTGGCTCTCGCATTTCGATGTTGTTGCAAAAGTTTCACGGATCGAGGGCAGGCTGTTTTCAAAATGTGGTTCTCGCATCAACGTTGCGCACATTCGTGTTTAAACATTCGCCAGAGGTTCACGGATTGAGGGCGGGTCGTTGTCAAATGTGGTCTTCGCCTCAGCGCCGCGAACATTTGTTTTTTCATATTGCAAGAGACGAATTGAAGGCAGTTGTTTTTCGACATGTGGTTCTGGCTTGAGCGCCGCGCACATTCGTTTTCAGAAGTTGCCCGACTTTCGCGGGTCCCCATGATTCGCTAACAAGAAACATCGCCTTGGAACAACTCAGGACTGTCAGGGCGCAACAGTTACATTGAGCCGTGGTGTCGAAGTCCCGTGAACGGCTTTCTGGCAGGATTCTGGATCGTGAAGACGCAACAGTCAGGTTGATTCGCGGCGTTGAAATCCCGAGAACGGTGTTTGGCACGCTTCAGGAT